GACATAAACGAATACTAAAGACCAGGATGATAAATTGTCTCTGGGAGAAAGATTTGTCTATTTAGAACATGAGAACAGACACATAGGCTGAAGCAAGAAATGGGTGTACAAGAATGGATAAATTCAGCACTGTGAACTTTATGATAATGCAAAGATTATGAGTATAACAGCTTGATAATTCTATGATAGTTTAAAATAGATTGCTTAAAGCCTTAAATGTTTACTGCATCAGACTTAAAACTCAAAAGTAAACTATGCATTATTAAAAGCTGATCCAACAAAATAAATCAGGTGAAAATAATAAATAATCATTAGAGTTTAACAAAACCCAGACAAACACAATGTCAAGAACATATGATATTTCAAAAAAATTATTAAATAATTTAGTTTTATATTTTACACAATGATAATTTATTCACAACTATATTGTGCTCGAAGACTTGAGGAATAAAAATTCCTAATTGTTTCGGGTTCCACCTAATCCATTTTCATATGTTCAGCGAGAGATTTAATCGTTCTATTCATCAATGAATCAGTTCTTTTAAAACTGAGGTAATATTTTAGCTAAAGAAAAGCTATCATGCACAATATTTATTGTACTTGGTTGCGCTTATAAAAAATAAACGTTTATATTAGTTCATTATGGAAATCCTAAATTTACAATATACCAAGTAAACTAAATAAATGTGGTCAGGGTGTTTTGATCTAATCTGGCTCCGCGCTCTGAGGGGCCCCGCTCGTTAGCAATTTTTAACAATACGTCTACAACGAGAAAGTAATTTTAAAGTGAATGAATATTTTAAGTTCAATATCATATAAAACTTTTTACAAATTTTCTTTTCAAGTGCAGTACTCACACTTTGCCCTAAGACTGGTACAGCGTGTGGTATTTGCCCATGGACATAGCACTTTAAATGACCAAGACTGGTCTGATTGTAGGATTAAAACTCACACGTCAACCACTGAGCCACTCGGCTCCTTCAGTTTTATTGGTAAGAAGTTCTTTAATTGCGTTTTGCTTTTCGGAAAGACATATTGTACCGAACAGCTGAAAATTATATCAATAACAGTAGAACCATCTTAAAAGCTTAACTCATTTAATAAGTATTAATATTAAGCGATACAATAACAGGCTTAATGGCACTTCAGATTTGTGAGCACGTTAATTAGAGGTAGCGTTTGCCTAGTAACTTGTTGCAACATCATGTTGACAATAATTGTTTGATTCTACAATTTCTAAATATTATTAATTTTCATAGAACATATATAACATGTTAGTTTATTTTGTCAAGATTAAGTCCAGATAAAGGTGAATTATATTTCTTATAATTACTCAAAACTCGTATATTTGTGAATATTTTGTGAAATTAAATGATTTTAATTACTACAGCAGAGACAAATGTATACAACTACAAATTTAGTATCGGCTACGTGAAGTTTGTTTTCATTAATTTTGATAATGCGTTCTCTTCTCAAAGTGTCTACAATAACTTGTGATCATAACACCGGTATTTATATTATACATAACAAATCTGACATATTTTCTTAATCAAGAATATGATAAAAATTTAACTTTCTTTCGGTTTAACCAAAACAACGAACTTCAGTAGTATAGTGGTTACATTATTTTTATTCTGCAAGTCATTAGACAGAAAACTATATTTATTATACAAGTCATTGGACAAGAATTATTTTTATTTTATAAGCTATTTGACAAAAAATTAATTTATTCAAAAAGCCATTTGATAAGAAATTCTTTTTAATCTATAAGCCATAGGACAAGAAATTCATTTCATTCTACAAGCTATCGGATAAGAAAATCATTTGTTCTACAAGTTATCAGACAAGAAATTGTTTTAGTCTCGACGTTATCGGATAATAAGTTCATGGTTTTTTACAAGCTATCGGACAAGAAATTATTTTTATTCTATAAGCTTTTGGACAGGAACATTTACAAACACAGGAACATTTACACATAAAAACATTAAAAAGTTGTATTCACTTTAGATGATCAAAGACGTAGTGTGTTCAATAGTTTGAAGCCATTAATATTCTTAGCTACAACTTCAAAATTAGCAAATTGATAAATGTAAAGTACACAGTTATCAAATTAGCCATCTTTATAAGATGCCTATTGCCGCATGCCTCGTCTTTATTTAAAGAAGCATTACTGCATAATAAGAAAAATGATACATTTCCAGAAACATTTAGAAAAATGTAGTCCTTGTACAACAACAACAACTTTTGACCCAAAAATTACTGTCAAATATATGGGTATACATAGATAATCGAAATCAAAGCTTCCGACATTGACAAGCATCGATCGTCACTCTTTAGATTGTAAATAGCGCATATGCATAAGGTATATATAATCAAACAATTGCGGTTGTTACCATATAATCTGATGATTCCATGTGAACATTAGCGCGACGAAGACCGACATACCAGAAATGGAAATGTGTCTTGTGGGACAACAATCTCTACAGATGTGATTTGTTTTTGAAAGAATAAGGAGCTGAAATTTGTAACGAATGTGTAATTATTTTTGAACATTAAAATACAATTCTTGTCAGCAAAGTTACTGAACATACTTATCAGTTATGTTAATAAATTCACAGATAAGTAAATGTCTTTTTCACGTCATGCAAATATATTTCTTAGGAAGTATACATTGTAAACCAAACATTTTTCTCTATTTGTTGACAATATTTCATACTTACTAACATCAACAGTCATAAGTTTTAAATAATTTAAAAGAACGCTTGATTGTAATGCCCATGCAACGTTTAATAAGCGATGTATTATGTCTTCATATATGCCCGTCAGTCTGTCCATTAATAATGCAATTTATCTCTTCAGCATTGAAAATACAGATTGGAAATTTTGGGATAAGACCTCGGGTGATCTTTACATATACATAGTGGTTTTAGAATTTTCAGTATAACTCTTAGAATGGGGCCAATTTCTGGAAATCTTATGTTTATTAAAATGTAAAAACTTTAATCTTGTAGGTATAAATCTAATGTTGGTTCGTGCTATCTTCAAGACAATACTTGACTCGTTCGAAGTATGTTTCATTAACTCCAATAAAAATAACTTCTTTTCTTTAAAGGCAGTCAAGAGTTGCATCAAGCTTAAAATATATCCTTTCTTAATTTTATGTCAGTAAGCTGATGGTATACGAAATTACTTTGTCCATCTATGTGGGTAAGTTAATCTGTTTTCAATGTCCATCTATTTGTGTGAATTAATCTGTCCTCAATGTCAATCTATGTGTGTGAGTTAATCTGTTCTTTGTCCATTTATGTGAGTTAATCTGTCTTCAATATCCATCTATGCATGTGAGTTAATCTGTCTTCAATGTCCATCTATATGTGTGAGTTAATCTGTCCTCAATGTCCATCTATATGTGTGAGTTGATCTGTCTTCAATATCCATCTATGTGTGTGAGTTAATCTGTCTTCATTGTTCATATGTGTGTGAGTTAATCTTTCTTCAATGTCCATATATATGTGTGAATTAATCTGTCTTCAGTGTCCATCTATGTGTGTGAGTTAATCTGTCTTCAATGTCCATCTAAGTGTGTGAGTTAATCTGTCTTCAATGTCCATCTATGTGTGTGAGTTAATCTATCTTCAATGTCCATACTGAAAATCTTCTACAGCTTCACTTGACATCAAACGTTATCAAAGCATGAACTTAGCATTTTTATGTGTTTGCCATCTAATAGAGGATTCATCATGTTATCATTGTATTTTGTGAGAGAGAGATTATGTAATAGTGTAAATCCTCAAAAGGTAAAGCTTTGATATGATCGCCACAAACAAGTTGTGTGACGACTTGACTTGCTTATCTACTGCTCTAAAACTGCAGATAAAACTACTTTAGATCTAAGAAAATACACTGCAATGTATTTATACTCTTTCATCCCAATAGCGACAGCAATAAATACTCTTTCATTATCACATAAATCACCATGCAAGCCTAAATTTCCACACGATTCATTTGCACCTTATATTACAAATTGATTTGTCACGTGATCATATTTCGTAAAGACAGGTCAGTTTTTTAATGAGGAAAGCCAGTTAAACGCTTTATTCAGCCTTTTTTATTTTCCGTTTTTTAAAACGCAAGTTAATTTCAACATTGTCGACATTTTGAGTCTAATAGATAAAAAAAGAAAGCAAAGTTTAAAAAAAATAAAAATTTATGCAGCATGTTCCGTTAATAAAAAATTTATAACAATGTAATTTTTGGGAAAATTAAGTAAAAACATGTATATGAGCAACATCATTCCCATGATGATTTCTTATTTAGAATCAGTCTGCATACTTTATTCAAAGTGATTCATTATTACGATGATAACATAGCAATCTGCATGCAATATAGACATAGACCACATGATTAATGACAATGGTATTCGTGCTTCATAGATTCAAGAACAAAAATGCACAGTTATACCATTATGTGGTCTCATGGAAGAAAATAATAAGATGTTTATCAAAAAATATTGGCTAAAGCATTGGTGTCAAACTAATGTGCTATGACGGGCCAGATTTAGTATAAACGTGTTTTGCTCCGTACATACGTACCCTGAACCATCATACAAATACGACACTAACAAAAAACCTGGTCTTCGTGCCATAAAAGGGGCATAACTCTGCAAAAATCACCAGAGTGATGATAGAATGATATGGTTGATCTGTCCAGCAGGCCGTATCTGACCCACGGATCGTAAATTGACACCGCTGGAATTAATTAATGAGATTATGATTTTTAATGTAGCATTAACAATTGTTCAGTCATATCGCTACGATGAATGCAGCATAGCAGTTTATAGTGATGTCTAACAATAGGACATCATTCCGCAGCCATGTAGCATGATGTCCCACCCAGTCACCTTATCCTGACAACAGGCAGAGCAGTCCTAACACTAACCTCTTAATGCTGAGCGTCAAGCGAGGCAACTGTTAGTTCTTCTTTTGTAAGTCTCTTTGGTATGAATCGACCGGGGATCGAATCCACGCCCTTTCGCATCCTAGGCGTACGCTCTAACCACTAGGCCACCGAAGTGGTTACTAAAGCCTTAACCACCATGTGAAGTCTGAAAGCTTTGCGTTAAAATCCATATCAATAGCACTAAGACGAATTACTTTAAATTAAAAATCAACAGTTTGAGAGCTTGACAAACCTAAAAAATAAAACAATGTATATGATGATATCTATTCATAAAACCTGTCTGTTTTGCCCAATATTTGTATTTTTCCAAATGCAATACTATCCATAATTAACTGGTATGAACTAGCTAATGTGCTTCTTAACGATGTGCGATAGATATGTTAAATATTTCGCTAAGGACTGTAAAATCTTTATTATAGCCTATATATATATATATATATATATATATATATATATATATATATATATATATATATATATATATATATATGTGTGTGTGTGTGTGTGTGTTTGTGTGTGTGTGTGTGTGAATGTGTCTGTGTGTGTGTGTGCTTTCAGCCCGGTACATCAGAAATTAAAAGTTAAGCTAATAAGTGCCTTTTCAAATGATGTGAAGTTCGTATAATTAAACTAAGCAGTTTTTAAATAGTGCCAATAAATGGCCGCCATGTCGCAGATAATATAAAGTTTTATGTGAGATGTCTGCATATGACTACATTAGTGTTATTAGCTAGTTTATACATCGCTATTTGGCAATGTGCAAGTTTATACATCGCTATTTGGCAATGTGCTAGTTTGTACATCGCTATTTGGCAATGTTCTAGTTTATACATCACTTTTTGGTAATGTACTGGTTGATACATCGCTATTTTAGCAATGTGCTAGTTTATACATCGCTATTTGGCAATGTGCATTTACCTCTGCAATATTTGCAATCTGATCTTATGAAGGATCGTCAAAATAAATCTGGAAAAATCATGAAACGAATAAAATTGGAATTATGCGTCACATAATCTCACAAAATAAAATGCAAACGACTTATTGGGCAAACTTGTGCACAGAGTAAATTTATCAGAAAATGTAAAGTGTCTTCGGTTTGGTCTCATGTAGTTTCTCAAACAAGTCTATAAATGGTCGGATAAAACGTTGAAATATATGCAAGTATGCATTATTGTTCTACTTGGACGGTGCCTTGGACTATTGTTTTTATAATATGTCTTTAGTAGCTAACATTTGTCCATACGTGTAAACTAAACTTTAAGGATAATACTTGTAAGCATGTTTACTTAGTTTCATGTCAGGACACTGGTTTTCCTTTTGGAAATTCATGGCCTTCCTGATATTTATCAGGTAGATTTGCTAAAATTAAAGTAAACAGACCTGACTATGTTTATAGTTAGGAGTAATATTCCACTAATATTACATAGTATTTTTAGAAACTGGTAATTCTGACATTGATCAAGCGGATATGTATTGAACGTTGTTTACGTCAGAATTATTAATTCTTTTCTTAACATGTGTAGTGAAGTCATTTTTTTAGGTACACTTATAGTTTGAGAGAATTTATTTATTTAAACTATTCATTGGAATTACTAAGTTCTGATTAACTTTTACAAGAAAGTCATTATTTTGGGATTATTGTGAATTCATTTAAAGACGTTATGAATTGATATATTTGTGATACATTAAAACTGATAGTAAATCGCCACATTGCAGACTTGATACATCAGAAAATTCAAATGTTTGATTTCTTTCGGAACACGGCGGAAATTAACTTGGAAAACTTGTTTTTTATTTGTGATATCACTTTTAGTACTATTTGGAATTTTATTTACAATACTGTAAGATCATTTTGTAGTTCAGTTTTGCATTCTATGGAATTTTACTAAACTTGCTGGTTTTCGCTCTTTACAATTACTTAAGAACATAGATTTGAAACAAATCTTAATATTGGATTATTTACACCTACAATTTTCACGTGTCTTTTGATATCTTCATCAAAAAATAGCTTCAAATAAGATGTGAAAGTTAACGATTAAATCAGCTGCAATGACAAAAGTATATCACTTATCTACAATACAATAATACAAGCAAGGGAACAAAATTTATTAAGACGTCTCGGAATCATTATATTTTTTTTTCATTTCATGCATGTTCATCTTGCCCTTCACTTGTTGAGACAGCTTTTCTCAATAAATTTTAATGAAAGCTGTAGAAAAATCCATGTCAGTGCGTTTAGTACTAGGAATTTGTATTATCTTCTTTTGCAAATATTCACAAATTTTCCGATAATGAGAATAATGAACAGGCAAATCTGGGTCTATGCAGTTTGTTAGAATAAATCAGTTGAACAAACAACACAGATCCAGATATACAGCTGCATTATGCTACAGCAAATCAGGATCTTTGTTATCTGCAGTTTGACTCGACATATAAGTTAGTACATACGGCACATCTTGTCCTGACAGAGACAAAAGTCGCTAAGCTAAAGTGCAGGCTCCTACTATCCTGATTGCATAAGGTGTCTCATTTAATATGCCAAATTTTGTGAAAAGCTCGGAAATACAATTAATTGTAAGTTGAAGTGCTCTAATGTTCCTTTATTTCCAATAAACTTCCTTTGAAAATATTAGCAATTTAGCTCAAAAGATTTGGTTTGCATGTCAGTGAAACAAATCATGACACCATTTATAGTCGCTTATAAAATGAGTAAAATTGCAAACAACACATATTATTATATTCCGCAGCATAATGTCTGCAGATCAAATACCTTATAGATTGCGCAGACCCAGATCACACTTTGGTCATTTGGGCGAGTACAGTCACCTATTAGTCGTCTGAGTGAGTATAGTCACACATGTCATGTGACTGAATTCATTTATTTTTCTATCAATGTGTTTCAAAGGAGTATGTACAAAGAATAACTTAATGATAAGTAAGAAAAAAGAATGGACAAGGAAAAATAAATGATGAAAGAGGATACAAAGATGTAATTAAATGAAAGATTTGGAAATTTTCAACATAAATTCAATTAAAATACACGGTGTAAATAGTGTTCCCATGTTGTTAAAGTGGGAGGGATGTGTTTATCGACGGCAAAGCTATGTAAATTTGTACATTGGCTCATGTATTCATCTATCGTCTTTAGTTAAGACTAATTAAGTCGTTCCTTTAATACACATTTCAATAAAAATGCCATTGTTTGATGTAATTTGTTTTATTGTATTAACACAAAGGTCCTCAATAATTTTTCTGCTGCTTATCGACTTGAAATTAAGACTTTAATTGGGTCATAAGGCTGGCTTTTATACAACGGTTTGGTTTAGATACACGTGTAGTGTTGGGCATTAAGACTTATTACCTTACAAGAAATCTTTTCTCTATCAGAAGTAGGTAAGATATGAAGATAATAGGAACATAATAAACCTGACCTGGTTCACAGATTTAAATGTATTTCACAACCATGTTGAATCACATTTGCAAACTGCGTTATTTGTGATGAATGTTTGCCAAACATAGCATTCTATCTGTGCTCGCTTGTACGTCTATTACAAGTACAGCTCATCAGTCGAGTCCAAATTCACACTTCAGAGATCTACCGCCATCGCATAATACGTTGACAGATTTGGTTATTCATTTGGTTACAATATTCACTATAAATAATAATAATAATAATAATAATAATAATAATAATAATAATAATAATAATAATAATAATAATAATAATAATAAACATTATAGGCCATAACTGACAGTGTAATATGGTACAGCATATTAAGTTCTATGTTGTTTGTAGTTAGATTTAACTTATAAAAGAAACATGTACGTATTGTACAGGTGTTCAATAAATAGATGGTAAAGAAGTTAGACTTAAAACATAATCATAGTTTGTATTTGTCAAGTTTTGTGTCTTTCTAATTCCTCAAAGAACCATAAAAGTATACTTGTCGACCACATGATTGAAAAGGAAACAATCTACAATCTATATACGCATATGCTCTCTGGAATGCGATGGAAATCTCAACATCAACACTTGAAACTATACATTCAAACTGAGGATTTTTAAATTAATTAGAAAACTTAAATCGATCAATGAAAAACCTACCCAAGCCGTCTATAATAATCCGTCCAAACCAGAGTGTCACAAACTTCCAGTAATCTGAATGGGTGAAAGTAATAAGCCTGCTTAAAAACTGACAGATCAAATGTCTTAATTTTAAGACATAACGTTAAGGCTTATGCTGCTGAAATAAGGGGCTAGATTTCAGTGTGCATAATATTGTTATGGTTCATGTTGTCTAAAAACTTCTTAACTCAGTTTTCGAAAATTTTCCTGGTGAGTTACTTTATTTCATTGCCAATGTAAATTATTTGCATGTGCGTAATAGAATCCAAAGATAGATAGCAAGAGACAACCATTGGGTTTCATTTGATATCCATAACAAAGTCTCAATCCTACACAATCGATCAAAACGATCATTTTGAAATATTTAGCTTCATTTGGTGAAAAGAGTATTATTGCTTTATGATATATGATTGCATTTAGAGGATTAAGACTGTATATTTAAAAAAAAAATTAAATATTAACTGATAATCTTCGTATTAGGAATTAAATGAAGCTAGAACATAAGAAGCCTTCTTTTAGCAGCAAGTCATCTGACCTCTTGCAGTCACCATAGCCATTAACTCTATTTTATCGTAAAATTCAGCTAGAAAAATAAATGACAGTGTCTAACATTGTTCCTACATCCCTGCTTTTTCCTTATAGTAATTGCTTGTGGTCTAGCTATGATAACTGCTTATTTCCCATAGAGGAAATGTCTGAAATTTACCCGCCATTTTCATACATTATAAATTTATGTTGATCTTTAGTTTTGCTTGTCGAAATTTACTTCTAATGAATTTGGCGTGGGATAACTGGATTCTGCATCATTTACGTGTGTGTGTGTGTGTGTGTGTGTGTGTGTGTGTGGTGTATCTAAATTCATGACAATAAATGCAGCTTACAAAAATGGTTTCTTGAAACAGTACACAATTAGATTGCAATTTATGATCTGTTGAATGCTTCAAGTCTTTTCCACGAAACTTTAAAGCAATCGGTACTAAATTGATCAGTGACTCTTACAAAGTCATCACAATAAACCAGGGAAATATAATGCTAATTTTTTAATGTTCGTTTCTCCAACTATGTCTATAAATTATAATTATTTTAAATTAAGTCTAACAAGTGTGTTTATTATATATATATATATATATATATATATATATATATATATATATATATATATATATATATATGAAGAATATGAACAATGTAAGAGTGCAGCGTACATGAAGAAAGCTTTGTGTTAATAATAAGCGTTCCATAATACTTGGATTGAAAGTACTACGTTTGTAAAATTAAAAGCTGGCAACATTACGGATGGATGCAAGGATTTAGTCTACAGCTCAAAGTCAAACACTTGGCTTTACACAACTATGAACATCTTCCTATATTGATCTGTGAATACACTGATCCATAATTCGGCTCAATTATTAAAAGAGTGAAAACAAGTACGACATAATTTTGGCACTGCTGACTCTTACAATGTGTAATGCTCTTGACTGTATATATTTGTCTTCTATCGTAACATTATAGGGATTGCACTCGATTTGCTGTATGCACGCATTTGGCGACCGAAAGAAAAATGAATTGTAGTCTTAAAGGATTGTTCACTAGAACCAGCTGTTATTCTTATATGCTCAATCAATAAAAACTTTAATTATATACACACGAGAAAAGTTGTATTCAGGCAGACTTTTGACAGATTTATGATTTTGCCGCAACTGGGAACTCTCAGTGTTACTACCCCCCAGCTTTAAATACCTTTAAGCTATTGAAATAATGGCAGATTTCATATTTTGTTCTTTATTACAAAATAAATAAACAAATTAAAAAAAATATTCAACAAATCCAGATTTTCATTCCTTACATCTGCCGCCCATTATTGTCAAGTTGACTTGTCGGAATAATGGGAAATCCGTCATTATACTTAGGCAGCGTCCATTTCACCAGCCCAGCATAAAACTCATTGTCAAAAGATACATCAACCATTAATTCACTAAATTACATAAATGTTGTATTATATCAGTCAAACATTTTTCTTTGACAGTAACAAACGAGTGGCATGTAAGAAAAAAAGACAAGTATAAGTTGCACCTTATCGATACATTGAGACAAAAAAAAAGAAGCAGATAGTGAATTTATTGGAAGGAATAAGAAATATGATATACATTGAAACGTATAATCACGATCGAGGCTTGCAAGTTTTTTTGTATTGCCACATCGTATTTATATATTAATCAAACCTATCGACAAAATCTCTTCGAAATAAACCGTAGTGTTTGGGAAATAGTAAACGAGAGAACCACAACCTTTAAATCCAGCATCTTAACTCATAACACAACATAATTTCGCCATATTCTACTCGATACACCTTTTCATAATTATAAATCTATACGGCAAAGGGTTAATGAAAATAACGTGTTCGCAGTTCAAATTCACATACAGTCGGAGAGTAGTCGATTTATATTGTAATAAATTTTGAGCATGTTTATTTGGTTATAGCGCCCCGTTTAAGGAATTCTTAGATTTGTGTAATTTCTGTTTTGATTATTAGAATGGAAATATTCCTTAACCAGAAATAACTAGCCAATTAATAGGAGCATACATCACTGAGTGAAGTGTTAGTGACGTCTCATTAGGCCAAGGTTCACTAGTAGGTAATTCAGGTAAAAACTGCATGAGTACTCCCCCATCTTACCGTAGCCCTTATTAAAATCTGGTGGTGTAGATTGCTGGTGTGACTGCAGTGGCAGTATTTACAGTAAAAGTAACAGGTAAATTAAACAAAGGAATAAACAACAAGAGACTTGACAGATACAGTTTATTTCGCCATGATTGGAAATGTGATGTAGTTGTACTAGCGTAATATGTCCTGGAACCATGCATTGACTGGCCTAAGGTGGCGTAGTTAAAATTGTTACCTGTGTTAGAGAATAGTTGTAGAGGTTTTTTTTTTTTGGCGTGAACTGTTGACTGTACGGAAAGTTGATGAAGAAAAACTATGCAGATGTGCGGTTGATATAAATTTGCCAAGTTGCGAGATCTGTGGTTTTGCATTGATTAAAGTAAAATTTATGTATATAATGATCACGTCTGGCTTTCTTGCTTTTAGTTGAAGTTGTATAGAAGCTTTTGAAAATTTGGGGTAAACTTATAACGTTTATAGGAAATCGCAATAGGGTTTGGCACCGCTTGGTCAAGCAAATAACTCTGACTTGTATCAATATTTCAATAGGTTTTTTTTTCTTCTTCTTATTCTATTGATCGGTTTATCTCACTGCCATTTTCTAGTGCTTATTGATAACATGACGGGTTTGAAACCTTTTATTAACCTCCAGAAGGATATTTGATGTCCTGATCATCGGTAATATGCTAGGAAAAAGCAGGATGAGCAATCAATGGCGATTACAGTATCTTTCTTCATTTAGTAACGAACAGAAGGAAAACAAAAGACAATTTCGTAATTTGGTAGGCATTTACTACTGTTTACTGGACGAAATCTATAATGTTTACTCGAAATGACCGCGTGCTGAATGGTTCGTTCTTGAATTGCTTTACAGATATCGGCAAAGACGGCATTTAGTGGTAAAGGTAAGGAACCCTGTTACTGCGAATTTAAATGAGAAACGGATGCTTGAATTACACATACAGTTCTACCATTTTCTGGATTTCAGGATAAAACACACTAAATAAACACACATCAATAGAGTGGTATAACGTCTATACCTTACCAATATGCATTCACTTAGCATTACAATTAAGACCCAAACTGAGAAAGAAATATCGTTAGGTCAAATAGGATTTATATAACACTAAAACGATCCTATCATGTTAAGTGGATGAGCAGTACTAGAGGCAGTAATTAGGGATATTTGATGTTACCGTAAACTTTTAAAATAACATATTGTCGTGTAATTGTTTGATTCAACGTCTAAATTAGACTGTTATGTTTCTCTTTTTGTTCACATTATATGTGTGTAAGGGATGAGGACGTGAATGGGAGCCCCCCCTTTATTAAGAAGAAATACAAGATATGTTGACAAAAAAGGTGAACAGACTTCAGAATGTACACTGAAAACCTTATAAATGCTTATTCTGGACTCTTGATTCCAGACTTAGCCGTCTGAGTGTATCTTGTCTAGCACTTAGTGCTAATTATATGTAACCAAGCAGTAAAATACGGCTTACAGTAAAAGTTTGGCCAGAGAAGGATGTGTATCGGTTAAGATACATTGGCTACGCCTTTAAAGATGCGTTGAATTGAAAAGGTGTTACAACCAACCATTAATATTCTCTCTCTCTCTCTCACACACACACACACACACACACACACACACACACACACACACACCCCGCTCCGTTGGCCTGATGGCAGAGCGTCCGCCTCGGATGCGGGATTTCGCGGGTTCGAACCCCGGTCGAGCCTGACTAAATACTTCAAAATGGAACTAACAGATATCTTGCATGGCAGTAAGTATTAAGATGTTAGTGTTAGGACTGGTAGGTCTGGTGTCAGGATAATGTGACTGGGTGGGACATCATGCTACATGTCTGCGGCATGATGCCCAGTGCTGAACATCACTATAAACTGTCACACGGCAGACATTTGTAAAAGCTACTTTAAAACTCTAAATCACATCACATCAAGCAGGCAATCACACACACACATACAAGCACACACACTTGTCTACAATATACAAAAGCCCATACATACATCAAATGAATATTTGATGACAGTTCTGATTAGTGTGATAGGTGATGAAATAATGGCCCCATCGATATCACGAAACTAAAAATAACATCTTTCAGCTGTTAGCACGTTTCTGGAGTTGACAATAAAACAAAGCAAACAAAAGCTTTGCATTTGCGTAGTATTACAAATCAGATAAAGTAAAAGTGTTTACATTTTAAAATTTTAAATTGAATGCATTTCTGCTGATTAGATAAAAATTCGTTAGGAAATAAAAACTATATATTCACCGATGTTGTGGAAGGAAACCAAATGTGTAGGTCTATTATTGACCATAATCTTTTCTCCCCCATATTGATTAATTGAGAGACAAACGAAAACAATACAAGAATTTATTACTTTGCATATCAAACATACACCAGTGAGAAGACAAGAACATGATATTCTAGTCATAGGATATTAGCAAGATCTAAATTTTGGTACGTAAAGATAGGACTAATCTTATCGACCACCCAACAATACAAATGATTGGATGGATAAGCAAGTAGATGTAATTATTTTTCTGGAAAAAGGGGGCGTCAAAGTCATAATTCGCCTAGGGCGGTCAACTTCATTGGTCTGGCCCTTATTTACCCTATACAAATTAAAGCGTCTATCAGGCAGTTAGTACCCTTTGGAACGTCTTCATGTTGAGGCAAGCACGCTAGAACTGTATCTCAGATGAACGAAATTCGCTCTTCATTATGTTAACGAACTATCCTCTAATTCTCTATATGGTACCTTGTGGTACCTTATCGCGCATGTCGTCATTAGGCGGAAATTCTAAATCTTGTACGACTAGAAACCGAAGTGCATTCCACCTTTAGGAATATGAATTCCTGTCAACAACAGGTAAGCACAAAATGAGTTCGGAAATGGTCAACCAAATGAGGTGAAAATTTTCACATGTAAAAACTACGTATGCCTGCCCATATCATATTATTCTTGGCAATCCAGACACTTGTCTTGTTCATATTGTGGAGGAGGCCCTGAACTACAGTTTCTTTCCACCTTTGAAGTGATTCCTCCATGCTTCGAAACAATAAATTCAGTTTTGGAAATACCCCTTATGTGTCTCAAAATTACCATTTTGTCCTCATCAACACCGCAGAAAATATATTAGCTCTTTGCCAATTTAAGGAGTCCTCAATAAAGGCTCCACTTTTCAAGACTACATTGAATGGAATATAGAAATCGAATCTTAGTTACATGCATCTGCATACAGAGGATTCGAAAGACCGAAACAAAACTTTGGATGCTATTGTAACGCCTTGTGGTACCCATATAAATTATGTTACGGCTAAAACCGACGTATTTACTGCGAGAATTGCAATCATAATTTAAACTTTGAAATGAGTTAAGAATCCCAACATCACAATGAGCCATCATTTGGGATCGCTTTCCTACATTAAATCTCTTGCAAAATATTTAGTCTGATAATTCATGAATAGCATGTAGTCTGGTAAACCTATTCTGTAATGTTAGCTGCCTGATCAAATCTGTATAAAAGTTAATGAAAGGATAGGTAATGCAACCAAAGCTGTATATTAGTCTACCGTTTACGAATGGAATAATCCATGTACTGATTTCGAATATTATATAATAAGCATGTTTGTTGCACTTGAAACAAATGTGGAAACTCCATAAATAAACTTCAAAATATCACAGTTACTATTAGAGAGTGGCGTTGCACGTATTGATAAAATCAAAAGCCATGAGGTGGTTTAGTGTATCGAAGACATATACTTAACTCGTGCATACCTTCTGAAGGTTAACGTCTACCATAGTTCATTTTATGCCTGTGTCAATTAAGAATGAGGAATGAAAAATGCAGTCAGTCCTTAGAACATCAAACTCAGTAATGGAGAGTGACATATGTTTTGACTTTATGGTCTCGAACTAAGTAACAAAAAGAGCAAAACCAACACGTTTGGTAAAATTCAACAAATAAATTTATTTCCAGAGAATGCAAAGCAACAATTTACAAAAAACTTACACTGTTGTAATTCAAATCCTAATTAATCCTAAATAGTATATCACAAATCCAAACGTATACAAAATTTTGACTGAATTATAATCTTGAATGCCGAGACGGACCAATTATCTTGAATGAAACGATGCACCAACATGTCTTAATGAATGACAATAATATAATCCAGAATGTCTTAGAATGATTCCTCATTTATCGCAAAATAATGTTTGAATCCAAAACTTTAATGAGCAAGTTGTACTTCCAATGAATATATTTTGATATAAACTGATCATCTCATTCATGTCTGAGCTCAAGAGACTGGAATTAAAGGAAAAATGAATAATCTTGTTGATCCCAATTTTGTATACATGACCAATGTCACAATAGCATTTTCAGAAGAAAACCAAAATAAATCCCATCTCAATTATGTTAATGGAAACTTACACCAAACTGTAAACAAATTCGTTTCTAGAACTTTCTAAAGTCATAATCAACGCAAGGTCTTTAGCTCACACACAAGCTAATATAAATTTATAACTTACAAACAAGACAAAAGTCAGGTATGCCCTAAACCTAAATCCTATGTCATGGGCAACGGTCAAGCATGCAATACAACATTAATATACATAACACATGGCTCATACGGAGAAAAGAGCTGAGTTAAAGCGATATTTAGAAGATTGCATATAGGATACAAATATCTTAATCATTCATACCTCCTGAAGAGTAATTTTCTTGACCGTTTCTACTGACAATGAAGAAGACCCGAGTGGCCTAGAGTTCTAAAGCGCTGTACGTTATGGATCACTGCCATCTCACCTCTGTCTGTGTGGGTTTGAGTCTAGGATTCGGCGAATGTGGATATGTGAGAAAGCTTACCAGTAGCTTCTCGTGGGTCGGTGGTTCTTTCCGGTGATTTCCCGGTGTCTTCCTCCACCATTGATATTGGCCGCCATGAATATCGAGTGCTGAAAAATGGCGTTAAGCCCTAAACAGCAATTGACAATGAAACCCATTCTTATAGATCATGTAAACATTCACACTTATAAAAAAGATGTTCCATTTTTTTAAACTGTAATATGAACTCTATTAATAAACGTTATGATTATTAGTAAACACTGTGATGACATATCACAAGGAAACTAATAACACGTCTTAAAGGAATACGATCGATATAATATATTTCGACACTATATTTGGGATTTTATATTTTACCTTTATATTTTATTTTTCTATCCCTTTTACAGAATTTTAACGTTACATTTTACCAGTTGTTTTGTAGTACCGTATGCTTAAATTTAATTGGAAGAGTTTATCTTCCTAAAACATGATTATATATATATATATATATATATATATATATATATATATATATATATATATATATATATATATATATATATATATATATATATATATATATATATATATATATATACTATTTTTAATAGCTTAAATTTCAATCGGTGGCACAAAGCCAATATTGTAAGATAGTTGGTACGATGCCATTCACACAGGCAGTATTATGTAATTTCCAAGCGGCGAATTACTGCAACTTCATAGCTGTGCAATAAAATATAGGCTGAAGTTTTGTTAATTCTAAATATAGATTTAGTTCTATAATATTTATAAAACGGCATTTTTTTCATCAAATAGGCGAGCATTATCATTTATGTTTAATGTTTGATTTTATATATAGCTCATTTTAAAATGCAGCTAGATCAATGGTACGGAAACCTTTTATAATAATAATAATAATAATAATAATAATAATAATAATAATAATAATAATAATAATAATAATAATAATAATAATAATAATAATAATAATAATAATAATGATAATAATAATAATAATAAGAAGAAGAAGAAGAAGAAGAAGAAGAAGAAGAAGAAGAAGAAGAAGAAGAAGAAGAAGGAGGAGGAGGAGGAGGAGGAGGAGCGGAGGAGGGGAGGAGGAGGAAGAAAATAAATCGAAATTTCGATATGAAATCGAAAAATCTTATGACAAATATCTTGGTATATTCCTCTAAAGGTTTAGATCTTATATATTTGGGGATATTTCAGATTTGTTTTCCAAAAAAAGTTTAATTTTTTTCTTTTTATTTCATTTTGTCACCCTAATAGGCTTCCGTGCAATGAAGATGTTTAGGAATCTTAAAATGGAAATCGAATAATTTACGATTAAAATAAATTGCAGCGAATTTAAGTATATTTATAGAAGTTAATTTGCATGCTCATTGACACCTTTTTCTTATCCCGCGATATTAGCCTATTTTAATGTCTACTGAAGACTAATTCATTGATATAGTAGGAGATGGCATTAATATCTAAGTTGTAAATTAATCATTTGCGGACTGTTGCATGAGGCATAAATGACGCCATGCAAGGCCAGGCTTTTGTTAAACAAGGTTATCTATGTATATATTCAGCATCATATAAAAACTGTTGTCTTCTGACAAATTATCTGTAAGGAAATAAAGAATTTGACATGTCCTGTTCTACATATTACATATGCATATGTACCCTAAATAACTGCTAGAATGGTAGTAAAAAGAATCACTGTTAACTGAACACTGTGTGTATCAGTTTTCAACCTCCATACAAGGTAAATATATGTCAATCAAAATACTCTCAGCGTAAAAAGCCTTTTAACCAATTTCTGGTCAAACGGGCTACGTGCAATCAGCCAGTTAGTGATTATGTGTTGCTGAAAAACACTAT